TACCCTGTTTTCATTCACAGAACAAAGGTGGTAGAGATAGGATTGAATCCAGAGTTTTGTGACTCATTGTCGTGAGGCCATGCTGCAATCACTGAATTTTTATGAAGTGCAGATACTAAATATGTCTTTTAGTGGGCTTTGTAATGATGAGTTATGTAAATATTGTAGCACATAGGAGATGTTCAATATAGCAAGTTAATATTTTATTTGCAATATGATTTGAAAAAAAATTCATGTTTTTGTTTTTATTGGAAATCTTCAACAATTGTGTGTATCTCTTATTTGAGGAACATACTAAATAGTAAGAAATGGAGTCCAAAATTACAAGTCTGCTTTCCCAAACAGGAGAAAAGAATCATACATTTTTGAGATGAATTTCACCAAATGGGACAGTCATTTTAGCAATGTGGGGTAGACTTTTATGGGATATAAAAGGTTATTGTCATGTGTTAAGTTAGTGGAAAATGTTAAAGATCATGTTTGTTCATGTTTTTTCAACAAGGGAAACCATAGAAACAAAATTTCAAAATGTAATTAATCAGTAAGTATTCTACAACTATAAAAATTACACAAAAAAGTGAAAACTCTCTCCTCTAACTGCACTTCTATTCTCAGAGACAAACACCATTAACAATTTTTTAAAAAAATTTATTTACATATCATGGATATATTTCCATTTCATCTTTTATAGGTTTGCTTTTTTTAACATAGTCAAGTATTAATTGAAAGAGAAAGACAATAGGTAATATAATTTCAAAAAAGTGCTTCTTGAAAAAAAATACAAAAGAATACCTTCCATGAAATGAGAATGTGGAAAAGAAAATGGATTTTCTTTTAATAATTGTAGCATTATTTAACTATTACCTAAAAACTGAAATAAATCATACTAGACTTATAGAAAACTGTTTGAAAAGCCTAATGATAAAGAAATATAAGTAAGAATTTGGTGAAAGGATAGTGAGAAAAGATGAAAGACAGTGTTATTACATGATTATAGGTTGGCTCTTTATTTTAAATATTTATTAGCTTTATAATTTACATATCATAAACCCATTTATTGTAAATATATAATTCAATTGTTTTAGTAAATTTGCATAGTTGTACAATCATGATCATAATCCATTTTTAAAATACTTTTATTCTTCCAAAAATGTTCCGTTGTGCCTTTTTATTGTCAGTTCCCAGCTCTAGTTAAAGTAACTGTTTTTCAGCTCTCTGTCATTATAGTTGTTCTCTCTAGAAATTCCATGTAAGTGGAATCATATGACATTTTATAGTATGTTGTGTCTGGTTCTTTTCACTTATCATGACATTAAGGTTCACCCATCTTGTTGCCATATCAGTAATTTATACCTTTTTCATGCTGAGTAGTATGCCATTGTATGGATATACCATATTTTATTTAACTTTTGATTAAATTATGATGAATATTTGGTTTGATCCCAATTTATTTGGGAATGTATTAACATGTTTTCTATCACTATAACAAAATACTTGAGGTTGGTAATGTATTAAGAAAAGAGGTTTATTTAGCTCACAGTTCTGGAAATTCAAGGGCATGGTGCCAGCTACTGCTTGACTCATGGGACATAGCCTCATGGGATATAGCATTGGTGGGAGCACATGTGGGAGGGAGAGAACACATGGAAAGACAGGAATCCATAGAGTGGGAATGGACCATTCTTAATCTTTTTTAACAGTCCTCTCTTGTGAGAAATAATCTGGGTCTCACATAAACTAAATTAATGTCTTCTGAGTGCAATGCCTCCAACATCTTCCCACTAGGCTCCATTTCATAAAGATCCTACTACTTCTCATATCACCACACTGGGGACCAGGCTTCTCACATATGAACCAGTGTTATAAATAAAGCTCCTATGAATATTCACAGATGAGTCTCTCTGTTCACATAAATTTCTCACTCCCCTCTCACTGGGTATATATCTTGGAAGGAAATTGCTAGGTTTTGTGCTCAGTTGTGTTTTAAAAAATTGCCAGACTTTCTTTCAAAATGACTGTATTTTACATTTGTCCCCATATTGTGTGAGAGTCCCATTTCCCCCGCAATTCCCTAACACTTGTGTTTGTCAGTTGTGTGATTATAGCTGCTTTAGTAGGTATGTAGGGATATCTTATTGTGATTTTCATTTTCTTAATTTTCATTTTCTTAATTACTAATGACATTGAACATTTGCTCATGTACTTATTGGCCAATTGTATATCTTCTTGGTGAAGTGTCCATTTTATAATTGGCTATTATATTACTAAATTATTTATGAGGGTTCTTTATATAATCTACATTGAATTGTATTATCATATGTATGATTTGCACTTATTTTCTCCCAATCTAATTTGAATATTCATTTTCCTAATCATTTCTTTTGAAGAAGAATTTTTAAAATTATGAGGTCAAATTTATCATTTTAAAAAAAATAAGTCTCAACTTTTAAAGAAATATTTGTGTAGTGCAAGATCACAGAGATTTTCTTTGGTTTTTACATTTAGGGATATGATACATTTTGAGGAGATGCTTGTGTGTGGTGTAATATAAGAGTCTCAGATTTTCTTTCTTTCTTTCTTTTTCTTTTCTTTCTTTTTTTTTTTTTTTTGCAGATACACATTTAGTTCTATCGCTACTGTCAAGCAGCCTGTCCTTTCTCTGTTCTCTTCTACTAATCAGAAAATATATCCTTAGCAATGGTATATTTATAGTAAGTTTTGAATTCAGGTAGCATAACTTTTACAGATTTGTCTTTTCTTTTTAAAAATGAAAAAAAGAAGCAAGGTAACTTAACTCTAGACCCAGATTGGTTTTTTTTGGGGGGGGAATATTTTATTAAACATTTAAGAAAGAAACAGTATGAAACTTATCATGACTTTTTACGTCCTTTGCATTTCTGAATAAATGTTAAGAGATGCTTGTCAGAATTTACAAAATAAAAGAAAGTAAAACATAACCAGTTATCCTGGATTTTAGTGGAAGTTATGTAAATTCTGTGCATCTGAGGAGACTGCCATATTAACGGTGTAATATTGTATATTTCTCTAATGTGGACTTTTTGTGTGTTTTGTGGTTTCTGGTGACTGGATGTTGAACTTCTTTTGAAATATAAATTACAAATATCTGATTATTTGTTTTGATACTAATGTGAATTGCATTGTTTCCTTTATTTCATTTTGATATCAGTTTCTAATAGGTAGAAATATAATTGATTTTATATGTTAATCTTAAATCCTGTGGTTTCACTCTACTTGTTTAATACTTCTAGTAGCTTTTTTTGGTAGATTTTTTTTTCTTAAAAATTTTTCTGCATGTGGAAACCTACCATCTGCACAGAAAGATATTTTAATGTTTTTTTCCCATTCTGTGTGCCTTTAATTTATTTTTCTTGTCTTATTTTGCTGGCTAGACTTTCCAGTATAAGCTTGAATAGAAATGGTAAAAGTGAACATTCTTGCTTTTTTTCTAATCTAGGAAAATCATTCATCTTATTAAATATGTTAACTAAGTTTTTGTAGATTCTCTATATCAGTTTGTGTATGTTATCTCTTATTTCTCATTTATTAATTGTCCTTATTTTTTTGGAGAGATCTTCTGCATCTTTTGAGATAATCATTTGGTGTTTAAACTTTATTCTTTTATTATATATATATATATGTGTGTGTGTGTGTGTGTGTGTGTGTATGTGTATGTGTGTGTGTATATATATATATATGTATATATATATGTGTCTGTATATATGAATTTATGGCTATTAAATCACTCATGCATCCTTGGGATAACTTCACATGTTCATGGTGTTCAATGCCAACTTAATATGTTATAAAACTTGGTTTGTTAATATTTTGTTAAGCAAATTTAAACCTAGGTTGATGTTAAATACTAGTCTCTAATATTCTTTATTTTTAATGATGTCTTTATTCATCTTTGATATTAATTAGGTTAATGCTAGCCATGTAAAAGTTGGTGTAAAGTGTTTCCTCCTTTGCCATTCTAAACAAGTTTTGTATAGGTTTCGTACTGTTTCTTTCGTAAATGTTTAATAAAATCCCGCCCCCTCCACACCAAAAAACAAAACAAACAAAAACCAATCTGGGTCTGGAGTTAAGTTACCTTGCTTCTTTTTTTCTTTCTTTATTTTTGTATTTCTTCCTCTCTTCATCTCTCATTGTGAATGGTTTTAGCCTAAATTTAATTTTTCTCAATTTGTCTTGTGACTTTGAACAATTTCCCTGAATATAGTTATTTTTGATGTACTGTCCAATTTTATAATTTTATTTTGCATAGATTTGCTTCTCTCTTCATGCCATCACACCAAAAGTCACTTGTAAATTTTTCACATTATTCCATCTTAGAGATGTGCTATAGTTTATTATCCAGAGACAATTTCTTGTTTTTAAATATATTCTTATTAATAATTTATTAAGATAGTTTCCTAGAAATGGAACTGTTGGGTCAAATTATATA